CAAAGTCCAAGGTATTGGAGGGAATTATTGTTACACAATAACAGTTTCTACATTGTGTCGGTGTGTTATGTTGTTATGCTGCTTGTAGGTCACATGTTCTGCTCAATGCAAACCAAAGTCCTAAATCACAGGGGAGAGCTGCAATGGCGATGCAGAGGCGCACCTGGTCACATGACCCATCAGACATGCACAGCACCTGCACCAAGCAGCGGCGGTGTCCCCAGTGCTTACACTCTAATGTCCCCTCCCCCACAGTCACATCAGTCTCTGTACAGAGGAGCTTACACTCTAATGTCCCTCCCCCCACAGTCTCTGTACAGAGGAGCTTACACTCTAATGTCCCTCCCCCCACAGTCTCTGTACAGAGGAGCTTACACTCTAATGTCCCTCCCCCCACAGTCTCTGTACAGAGGAGCTTACACTCTAATGTCCCCCCACAGTCCCACACTACTATACATGTATATAGCTCTGACATATACCGCGGTGCTGTACAGAGTACATTGAGCCGTCAGTCTCATTCAGTGTGTTTTTCTGACTCCTCGGCACACAAGTCTGTGTTCTGTATTGACTCCGGAGTGAAGCCGGATTTAACTCAGGGGGGAGGGGTGATCTGGGGATATGTCTCTCCAATCACGGGAGTCCTAGCCCTCGGTGTGGATCTGCCCTTGCCATGGGTATCCGAGTCTCCTCGGGCGGACCGCTGCATTCCACGGCTGGGTCAGCAAACCGCCAGACGGCTCCCAGAACACACGGGACGCTTCATGAGCTTCTGCTGGTCCCGGGGGAACGTTTCCAGCCTGCGGTTCCGGCACCGGTGGAATTTTGTCATAAATAGGATTCGTCTCTTTCTACGGCAAAGCCGATAAATTGTAATAAACCTAAAATTACCGTTTTATTTATACCGCCAAGAGCCAAAAACGCAGCTCAGACCGAGGAGACACCACAGAGTACAGCAAACACGGACAGTTCTGGACTCGTCTGACCCAATAAATCAGGACTGCAGGAACAAATATCCCGTCACAGGGAGAGCAAACACCTGCAGCATGACCTCTATATAGTGCCAACACCTGCCGCAGCCACGTACAAAGGACACACCGGAGCCGTAACCTAACATGCAGCAACCCGGGAGGCAACGGGATGTACAAGGCAGGTACATAGTCCAGCCTGTCATAGTCCAGCCTGTCATAGTCCAGCCTGTCATAGTCCAGCCTGCCATAATAATAGGATATATAATATGGTGTAGGACCAGACAATGGAGACAGACCCCCCCCTCACACACCCTCCCAGCACATTAACCCCTTCAGAAACCTAAAGTGCCTGCTGCCGCCCTCATGAGCCTTGTCCCCATTGCACCGCATGACCCTTCTCCTGGAATCCGGCCCCTACATCCATTGTAGTAGTATAACTAAATGTACAGCGCTAAATGTCCTTCAGGAAGTTCAATACAAATTGCATCCATTGTAGAGCGAGGGGCCATGCAAGCCAGTTATGGTGGTCACGTGATGTTGGTTTACAAACAAACCTACCAGCTGCACCCACCTATACAGGGAGGCAAAGTGACAGCTGGGCCAGCACGCTGCAGCCGTCACTGTGCAATCATTCTAACATGTCCAGGTCCCAAAAATAAAACAGGATTGAGGTCGGAAAATGAGTTATCAGCGTCGCAACACAAAAATGTGGCCTCTGGGCTCCAGTGACCTCTGCTCGGGATAGTAATGTGATGAGAATACGTGGGCTGGTGGGCTGGCTAAGGAAGTGCTAGTTGCCCGACTATCGCAGTTGCTTCCTTTGAATTTAATACCTTGAGAGCTTCTGACCTCAGCGAGCATGCAGCCAGTGAAACCAACTTTTGTTCTATGTGCTCGTTTTGGGTCATTGGCTCAAAGTATTGACGTTTGTGAACATTAAACAACCGGGAACGTGGAATCTGTAAGAGAGGCAGCAATGTCAGCTCACATATCAGACTTTACAGGCTGCATACTAGTTCCAGGGTTGTGTCATTCACGGGAGGCGGGACATGGCCTCCCCCCCCC